TGATGTACGAGATGAGCCAGGGTCTCTGAGTAATAGTCCCCATTTTTTATTTTTTCAAGTTGAGATTTTAAAGTTAAATGAGCATGCTCAACCATGCCTTGGCCCGGGGCTGTAAGGGATTCCTGTTTTTACAGCAATATGAAAGAGTGCAGAGGCGTCAAATGCCTGGAGTGCACGCAGGGGCGCCTTCGGCTTCAGTGCGTGAGGAACGCCAGCAACAGGAAGGGCACGAAGGTGTGTGCGACTGGGTGCCTGACTGCTTCCCCGCACGTGCGGAGACACGGAACCAGAGGTGCCGCGGCGACGGGAGAGCGGGACTGTCTCCCCAGAGCGGCGTGATGTGTGACAGCCATTTGCCACAAAGCATCGGGAGGAGACCCCCGGATCGAGGTGTGGGAAAAGCTTGTAGACAAGAACCACAGCTTTCAATAATGTGCCAAGAAGCTTCTCGAGTAAGTTGAAGCCGTTTCTGGAGTGCCACGGCATTCCGATGCTGGAGAGCGTGAGACTGGCTCGCAGGGTCCAACGCCGAAGTTACAGAAGGTCCTGGGTTGCTTGGGTTGCTGTCAAAGGCCCGGGGAGCCGTGTGTGGTGCACGAAGGTGACCAACGAAGCAAGGGTGGGAGCGAGCACAAATAAAAGATTGGAACTGACTAAATAAGTGAGAGTCCTTCATTAGACACGGGGCTAAATAAAGCTGCTTTGAGAGCAAGCATGACTTGCAGCATACAAGCGCTGTCCGTGTACAAACTGAGGGGTTGAAAAGGCAGCAAAGAGAAAGCCGAGAGGACTGCGCTGGGCAGACTGAGCAGGGAACTGCCTAGCGCGTGTATGCCCATGAACCGTGACAACAGCTGCACCAGAATGACGCTCCTCGGTAAACACGGTAAGTGCACCGGGAACAGGCTGAGTCTGGGTAATTTTAGGTATGAGAAAAGAGGTTGTCTGAGCAAAGCACAGGAGTTTGTGAGCAGGAAATTGGAAAAGAGTTGTTCTAAAAAGCGAGCCAAAGCAATTTGCCACTTTTCCGAAAATTCCCGCCACGATCGCCGCTGAGCATGTGAAAGGGTGAGCGATAATGATCAGATCTTGTCCTGTAAGTTGTTGCAATCTACATCGCCCCTTAGCAGTTGCAGAGGCAGGGAGTGGATGGTGAGGAGTTAGAACTCAGGAGCTAGAAACTGGCAAAACAAAAACAAAAAACCACGCTAAAGGTCATTGTTCTTGCCAAAGCACGCCTATTGGGGTGTAATGAGTTGGGAGAAATATTAACAGAATGGGCTGATCAAGATCAAGGCACGTCAGCTGAGCCCAACATCCTGCCTAAGTGGCCATTTCTAGTGCTTTATGGACTTTGGCTTAAAAAACGAGAGGAGGTTGGGGCAGGAGAGCCCTGAATTGTGTCAGAGTCTCTAGTCCTGTAGTCAATTTCAAGGTTGGTCTTCTCCGATTACTATCCCTTGAAAGCTTTGGGAATCATTTAATGTAGTCAAATGATCAGTGCAAATTTGAATGTTTTGAGGCCAGATGGAGGAAGTTTCAGTAAGACATCCTAAATAAGAAGAAGGGCTTTGAGTATGAACATTTTTTTTTTGAGAGGTTTTTGCTATAGGGCGCGTGCGCTCGCCAGAAAGACAGAGACAGAGAAGCAGAAAGCAAGAAATCACCCCCCAGGAAGGATGGCAAGGCTGTAATCCCTTCTCCTCCATTCTCCTCTCGGGATCTTGGGCATGCAAGCACACCCGCCCAGCGTGAGTTTAAACTACCGGGTCTAGGACTCGAACCACGGTGGACTACATGGGAGTCCAGCGACATAGCCATTACACTAACTGCTGGTCCCAAGTCTGAACATTTTTAGGAGCGATACAGAGAGCACTGTCTTCAAGGGCCTGCTTAGTTTTATGTAATAAGCTGAGAAGTTTATTCTGGTCTGGATAGGCCGAAACAATATCATCCAGGTAATGCACAAGGTGAGCCTTGGGAAGACGTTTCTGAATAGGAGCCAGAGCCTGTGAAACGCATGGCACAGAATAGGAGAATTTGCCTTACCCTGTGGTCACATTCCATGGGGGCAATGCTGTGGGTGGAGTGGGGCAGGAAAGCAATCTTTCAAGTCATAGCAATCCAACGGATGTGAAGAGGTGTGGCCGTAGCTGGCAGTCCCGGTTGCAACGGCCCCATCACGGTCACGGTGGCGTTAATAGCTCAGAGATCTTGTAGCAAACGCCATTGACCAGATGTTTTTTTGAATGACAAAAATAGGAGTATTCCATGGACGGTTGGATGAATCCATATTCTGCAAGCTGTTCCTGGATGAGCAGCCCAACAGCCTCCGATTTCTCCCGAGGCAGGGGCCACCGACTCACCCACTGGGTCAGAGGATAGCAGGTTATGGGGTCAGCAGTCTTTAGAGGTGGCAGCAGCTCTCAGAGACCCGTTAACAAATTGGAATATCCTAAGCCAAGTTTATCATGTTCAGGGACAATCGGTGTCCTTGGCCCCTGTTGATATTCCCAGCCCCTTTGTGGATTAAATCCTTGATCTAACACGATATCTTTCACAGTTTCATTAGGACTCATAATAAGTGCCCCCGTTTGTTTCAGGATGTCCCTTCCCATAGGGTGACGGGTAAGCGAGGTACTACATAGGGCTGGGATTGTCCTCTGTGACACTCAGGACCCTTTTCGTATTTTAGAACTCCCCCACTGTGAGAAGTTTGCCCGACCCCTGCAAGTGAGAGATAACTGTCCGGTCTGGCCGAGCAGCAGGCCGGTGATTCTGAGAGACTAAAACCACGCTAAAGGTCATTGTTCTTGCCAAAGCACGCCTATTGGGGTGTAATGAGTTGGGAGAAATATTAACAGAATGGGCTGATCAAGATCAAGGCACGTCAGCTGAGCCCAACATCCTGCCTAAGTGGCCATTTCTAGTGCTTTATGGACTTTGGCTTAAAAAACGAGAGGAGGTTGGGGCAGGAGAGCCCTGAATTGTGTCAGAGTCTCTAGTCCTGTAGTCAATTTCAAGGTTGGTCTTCTCCGATTACTATCCCTTGAAAGCTTTGGGAATCATTTAATGTAGTCAAATGATCAGTGCAAATTTGAATGTTTTGAGGCCAGATGGAGGAAGTTTCAGTAAGACATCCTAAATAAGAAGAAGGGCTTTGAGTATGAACATTTTTTTTTTGAGAGGTTTTTGCTATAGGGCGCGTGCGCTCGCCAGAAAGACAGAGACAGAGAAGCAGAAAGCAAGAAATCACCCCCCAGGAAGGATGGCAAGGCTGTAATCCCTTCTCCTCCATTCTCCTCTCGGGATCTTGGGCATGCAAGCACCCCCGCCCAGCGTGAGTTTAAACTACCGGGTCTAGGACTCGAACCACGGTGGACTACATGGGAGTCCAGCGACATAGCCATTACACTAACTGCTGGTCCCAAGTCTGAACATTTTTAGGAGCGATACAGAGAGCACTGTCTTCAAGGGCCTGCTTAGTTTTATGTAATAAGCTGAGAAGTTTATTCTGGTCTGGATAGGCCGAAACAATATCATCCAGGTAATGCACAAGGTGAGCCTTGGGAAGACGTTTCTGAATAGGAGCCAGAGCCTGTGAAACGCATGGCACAGAATAGGAGAATTTGCCTTACCCTGTGGTCACATTCCATGGGGGCAATGCTGTGGGTGGAGTGGGGCAGGAAAGCAATCTTTCAAGTCATAGCAATCCAACGGATGTGAAGAGGTGTGGCCGTAGCTGGCAGTCCCGGTTGCAACGGCCCCATCACGGTCACGGTGGCGTTAATAGCTCAGAGATCTTGTAGCAAACGCCATTGACCAGATGTTTTTTTGAATGACAAAAATAGGAGTATTCCATGGACGGTTGGATGAATCCATATTCTGCAAGCTGTTCCTGGATGAGCAGCCCAACAGCCTCCGATTTCTCCCGAGGCAGGGGCCACCGACTCACCCACTGGGTCAGAGGATAGCAGGTTATGGGGTCAGCAGTCTTTAGAGGTGGCAGCAGCTCTCAGAGACCCGTTAACAAATTGGAATATCCTAAGCCAAGTTTATCATGTTCAGGGACAATCGGTGTCCTTGGCCCCTGTTGATATTCCCAGCCCCTTTGTGGATTAAATCCTTGATCTAACACGATATCTTTCACAGTTTCATTAGGACTCATAATAAGTGCCCCCGTTTGTTTCAGGATGTCCCTTCCCATAGGGTGACGGGTAAGCGAGGTACTACATAGGGCTGGGATTGTCCTCTGTGACACTCAGGACCCTTTTCGTATTTTAGAACTCCCCCACTGTGAGAAGTTTGCCCGACCCCTGCAAGTGAGAGATAACTGTCCGGTCTGGCCGAGCAGCAGGCCGGTGATTCTGAGAGACTACGGAAATGTCGGCTCCAACACCTCTTAGTCCCTTAAAGGTCTTTCCTTTTTTTTTTTTTTTTTTTTTTTTTTTGGGGAGGTGGTTCCAGAAAGACAGAGAGAGACAGAGAGACAGAAAGCGAGAAATCACCCCCCAGAGGGGATGGTCACGCCGCAATCCCTTCTCCTCCATTCTCCTCTCAGGATCCTGGGCATGCACACACATGCGCCCAGCATGAGGTTTAAGCTGCCGCAACCGGGACTCAGACCACGGTCAGCTACATGGGAGTCTGGCGATATAACCGTTATGCCATCTACTGGTGGCTAAACGTCTTTCCTTCTGTAGTTGAGGTCTCTCCTGGCCAATCCCTTGCCTTGAAAAGTCGAATCCAATAGGCAAAATCAGCTGACTGGATTGATTGTCCCACCTTGTCCCATGTTTCCAAATTGACTGTTCCTCCCTCGGGGAACCGAGGGCGACCTCCTGCACATGGGATAGAAGTTTTTCCAGCTGGCTGATAGAGCCTTTCCGACCTCGTGCCATAAGCATCAACTTTAAAACTTGAGATCCCACTTTTTCCTCCCAGACTGCCCCACGTCTTAGTCCCGACTGTTCGCTCCCCAACCCAGTAAGCGTACTTACCTCTGCAGAGGCTCCTTCACCTTCCTGGAGACAGTTCTCTTGTTCTCAGGTCCTTGTCCAGGTGTCCTGTGTTGCTGATCAAGAGTGCAGGTCCCAGAGAGCGGTGGGGAGCAAAGGCTCGAGGCGAACGTGGGATCAGGAGGATCGCCCGGGCTGATGGCCCGAAAGGCCTCCGACCTCGAATGTTACTGAGGTTTATAGCAGTTTGAAAGGATGTTTATCAGGAATTGGGGAAGTTCGAAAGCACACGCAGAACCTACATGGGGGTGGCAGTGTTTGGCCCACAGGCATGACTAGCCAAGCAGCCCCTGGGTGCAGTGCTCCACAGACCACGGCGCATCAGCGTCTGGGAGGTTTCAGATTTACTGTCAGTACGCTCTACAGGGAATACCATGTTCCACCTGAGACCCAGGGGCCAGGCTGGGGGCTGTCCCTTGGTCAGTTCCCCTGACCGCAAGGACCATGTCAGCTTGCAGTCAGAGTTCCACATCAGACAACTGAACAGCTCAGATGTAAAGGCCACCCGGCTGTTTTCTCAGGACCACCTTGGTCACCCTACCCTAAATCCCTTGCCTTTAAAAGTCCCTGGTCCCCGCCCGTCAGAGCCATGCAACCCTTGCCTCCGGCTCCTCTCTTGCCTTTGGAAAGTGAACAATAAACTTTTCTATCCACTTACTCTCTGGGTCTGTGAATTTTTTTCACAGCCCATGACACAGGTCACCCTAAGAGCTGGGACTTGAACCATGTGATCGGCCATGTCAGATTTGGCTTCCTTATTCACCAGGCTTCAGAGCTGGCCTGACGTGTTTATAACGGCTCCTTTGAAGTCTTTCTATGTGAAAGGCCACATCTGATTGCTCTCACGTGCACTTTCTGTTACCCTGGGACGTTTCTGGGTGGGGAGCTGGGGAGTGTTGTGATGGAGTGCTCAGTTCTTGGGCCCGGATACCTAAGCTCACAGACTCGTCCTGAGACACAAATAAACCTACAGCCTTGAGAAAACTACGGAAAACAAAAGTGTACTAGTATATTCAAGAAAGTCCTGAGAGGGCAGGTGGCCAGGAGGCAACTGCACCAGGAGCGGGGCGAGGTGAGTGGGGCGAGGTGATATTTTCATTGTGAGGTCTTGCCATGAATATTTAGGAGGGGGGGATCTGTCACTACAGAAGGTTTTATTGACGTCTGCGCAGTTTTGTTGTTTGCAAACTTCTTGCCTGATAAGGGGAACTCAGGTGCCTGGTGGGGAAAGACGTGCACATGCCCAGTGTGGACGCTGAAGGTGTGCACGCGCATAGGGTTGATTCTGCCATACCTGCCCAGCACCGCCGAAGGTGAAGCGTGGGTCAGGCACCGGGATGGCGCCTGTGTGCGCATGCAAGGCTGCGTTGCTGTGGGAGGGGAAGAGAGTTACATTTTCCAGGTCCTCTTATGACGGTTTAGCCAGTAAAAATGTGATAACTTTTAGCCCCTTGGAGAAACCCTTTGTCTGACTGCAACCCCCAACAACGAGTGATGCATTAGATTCCCTTTTCATTGGTGTCTTGGGACTCCCGGCTCATGTCTATCTGACTGCCTGGAACAGGGCACAGGTCCTGCTTTTCTATTTCTTTGCATGGCTTATACGTTTTGGTTGGAAACGGCGTGCTTTAGGTTCTATTTTGTGGGAACTCTGATTACCAGCCTCTCCACTCCAGACCTTGTTACTGTTATTTGCTTACCTAGTGACCGGCTGGGTCACTCCTTCACACACACAGGCCCAGCTCAGTGAGTGGCCACAGCCGCTCCGGGATAGGTCAGAGGCACAGTAAGGGAACAAGATTCTGTTTGGCCCAGGGCTAGGATGAGCACTGGACATCACAAAACTCAAGTTGCTCTGGATCATGTGTGCCAGTGGGTCACAGGTTTCAGGATGAGTTT